AGTGTGTGTGTGTGTGTGTGTGTGTGTGTGTGTGTGTGTGTGTGTGTGTGTGAAATAGGCTGCTCCAATCATTTAAGGAAACTATGCTTTTTAGATTTTCTATTGCGTAAAAGTATAGTTTCCTCAAATCAAGTCAAAGCCACCACTGCCTGGCTCTGCCATTGCACCTGATGATGGATAAAGTTTCTCCCTTCGCTCGCCAGGATCCATCACTTTGCGCTGCCAGGGCAAGAAAAAAAAACAGCTCTGTTCTTCTACACAGTGTAACTCCTACCAACTTGAAACTCTTGCACCAAACACATTTACCGGTACGTTTGCCTGCATTCCCTGTTCAGTTTTAGTCCAGAAAAACACTCATCGCAAAAACTGCAAACATTCACTACTCAAATCCCTTAGCAATGGTGGACATCGGCATACTTTTTGTTAAAATGGCTTTCAGAAGTAAGTTTTACAGTTTTTGTAATATTAGAGTTTTTACAGACAGTTCGTCTGAGGGCTTTTTTCCCCACTCAACTCTAAATGAAAAAGTAAAGTATTCAAATATTATTGCATCAACTATTGAATCTATTATCTGTTGATTGTTTTGCTCCATAAGTGCGCGTTAACTTTTTTATTTTATGCACTGCTTGTCCTTTTCATTGACAAAAGGCACAAGCACATTTTAGAGTGAGGGTAAAATCCAGCTGTGTGATTCTGTAACGCTAACAAAGGCTGCCCTGTGCTGCTGACGGTGCTCTGGTGAGCCGTGAGCGCTTCCAGTATGCTGCAAATTTCAACTCAGCCATTTTCAAACAGTAAATAAAAAAAGAGAGCTCAGGCAGTGTGGAGCTGGTTTCTTTGGGTTACCCTTAAATAGGCCAGCAAACACCTGGAGCAGCAGCTGGGAAAGGTTCTGCTCATTCAGGGACACCAATCACTGCGATCAGTCTGTCAGCTTTGTTTAAACTGCACATTATTTCTCCAGAAAAGGTCCAAAGAATGATCGACGAGCACATTGGATTAGATGGAACTGTCATGTTTATTTGCTTACAAAGAGCAAACATTGACCTCTGATGTAATTTGGAGTCTAATCCTGTGGTTTGTGCCTAAAACCCTGATCTTAAATCCAGACTGCAGGTTCCTTTCATGGGACAGAAAAGATCCAAAGTGAGCAATAATACAAAATGGCATGTAAACAAATGTCAACATGCCATCCTTTGCTGTACGGTAATGCTGTAGGAACACAAGCTGTTCCATGAGTTTGATTTCACGTGTGTTCCCACAGGTGTGCTGCCGTCGCTCCACGCTCTCTCTCTCTGCACCAGGTAGCAACACTTTATAGTTGCGCTCCCTGACGAGCCTCACCCAATCATCTGTGAGCTGCCTGATGACTCACCTCTCTCCCCGAATCTGCCGAGCTCAGCAGTCGCAAATCAGAATCAGCAGAATTTAGCTTTAATTAGTTGAGCAGCACCGACAAGATACACAACTTCAAGCAAATCCTTTTGTTTGTACAGCTACAGCTGTGTAACTGCAGCTGAACGAGACAAAGCAACGTTTCTAATGAAGTCACTCTGATTACAACATAAACACCGTCATTTACAAACTGAAATATTGACCCCTAACCCAGAAACTTTTTCTTACATGTCACCCTTTGCAGCCTTTGTCATCTACAACTTTCTGAGTCTGTGTTATGAGTATCTGGGAGGAGAGAGCGCCATCATGGCTGAAATCAGAGGGAAATCCATTGAGTAAGTCTGCTTGCTGCCGTCCACTCTCTGCTGTTTACAAAAATAGATTCGCATGAAGATAGTCTGTATTCTGCTCCGGTAAACTGCCTCACTTCAGGTCAAGCTGCATGTACGGGACCTGCTGTTTGTGGGGAAAGACCTACTCCATCGGGTTCCTCAGGTTTTGTAAACAGGTATCAAGGATTCGTGTTAACACTGATTTCTATGTAGAATCAAAATACTCGGTTGTTGTTGGTATTCCACATCAGTGACTCATCTTTTTCCCATCAGGCAACTCTCCAGTTCTGCGTTGTCAAACCCCTGATGGCAGTGATCACTGTCATTCTCCAGGCCTTCGGGAAATACAAAGATGGAGACTTCAAGTGCGTTTATCCAGCAGCTTACTCAGACAGTCCTACAAAACAACACCAGTTTCACATGAAGTGTTCTGACAAAGATGAACTTTGCCTGAACATTTTTAAGTGTTTTTCTTTTGGTGTCTGTCTCCTCCAGTGTGGCTAGTGGCTACCTGTACGTCACTATTATCTACAACGTCTCTGTCAGCCTGTCACTCTACGCTCTCTTCCTCTTCTACTTTGCTACACGTGAACTGCTCGTCCCTTACAACCCCGTACTCAAGTTCTTCATGGTCAAGTCGGTCATCTTTCTCTCCTTCTGGCAGGGTAAGAGAGAGTTTTGAGCTTTATTAAGATCCAGTGCCCTGCTGTCAATACATACAGAAAGAACAAGCATTATATGTCATCCTCATGAGTCGTGTTTTTTATCTGACAAGTTTTTTAAGGGAGGTGTTATATTGTTTGATGAGTGATCTAAAGTACTGACTTTAAGTACATGCTGCAGGGATGCTGCTGGCCATCCTGGAGAAATGTGGAGCGATTCCTCAGATTAACTCGGCCGACTTCTCTGTGGGTGAAGGGACGGTTGCCGCCGGCTACCAGAACTTCATCATTTGCATCGAGATGTTCTTCGCTGCCGTTGCTCTGCGCCACGCCTTCACTTACAAGGTCTACATGGACAAAAGGCTGGACTCGTACGGTGAGAGACAGGTGTCATTGTGCTCCGTTAGGAGACAGGAGGAAATAAAAAGGATAATAGTTGTACATTTTCTGTGTGATGCACACTGACTCAGCCTGTCAGGGGTCCTCCAGAACTGGTGTGACCTCTCTACGTTCCTCTCTTTGATTCCTGTCTTCAACACGACGACTAATACGAGTCACTCTCCTTTCTTCTTCTGTTTGCTTTACCTCCATTTTCAACTTGACTTTTCTTTTGTCCCTTGTCTTTCTTTGTCTTCTGTTTCTCTCCTGCGGCACTAAAAGGCTCATTTCCTGTCTATGGACAGTACGGTAGGTCTGCTCTCATCTTTACTGTTCAGTCTGTGTTTCTGTTGGACTCGAGTTAAAGGTTCATTGTTTTCTTGTTGCTGTGTTCTGCACCACGTGGACACTTAAGATTTAGTTATTGTTTTACCATTTAAAATATAGATTTTTAACTCATCCTTTTTGTTTTATTTCATTTATTTACTGTCAGTTTATTTGTCAGTTATTGCTATGTGTTTTTCTTTTTGCTATTTTTTGTTCTGTCTTTACTGTGAGCGCTGTAAAGTCATATTATTGATATCCTCACATCAGGGTCCATTAATCCACATGTTTTAGATGCAAGCATTTATTTAGTTTTCACTTATTCATACAGAGATATGAAAGCTTATTTATTAGTCAGAGCAAACTGATTACTGATAATATTTAAAATAATGGACAACAGTATTCATTTTGCACACCTTCCTTTCGATCAGCTGTTTTTATTTTATTATTTCTGATGAAAACATTTGACCACAGGCCATCAAAGCTATTATAAAAACTCTCTTCAAGATATACAGCTACCAATTATTCTGCAAAAACAAAAAGAAAATGTATATAAATATAGATTCAAGCATTTTGTAGCTGGTAGAAACCCACTAGTACTTTTTGTTTTTATTCATTTTATTCTTTTCTTATTCCACCTGTTTGACTCAGTATGAGGCTACTGAGAGGGCCAGGGGTGCTTTTGTTGTAATGTTGAACTGACATGACTGTGCTGACTGTTCCAGTGCATTCTGGGATTTGTAGTTTAATTGTCCTGATTCTGCAGTGCAGATAAAGTTGTACAGGGGCTGGATGTGGCTGTGGGCCTCCAGTTTGACCTGCCTGAGTCAGATTCTCCCTGCTGTGATACGCAGGATTTAAAGAATTGTTTAAATGACCCAAACATGTGCTAGAGTTCCCCTGGGATCAAATTTGAGAAACATTAGGATATATTCTCTCTGGTGGTGCAGCAAATTTGTAGAGAATACAAAACTTGTCACATTATATAAAACACACACTTTGCATGTTTTTCTAAACCTGGTTTTGAGCGAATAAACTGAACTTCATAGTGTTGTCAGCAGGTGGTGATATAAATAAAGTTTTACCAGCCTGTAGTCAAAGTAACTTACTGGAAAAAGACAAACCAAATCTGTGCCAAGTATGACCAACAACTGAGACAGGTATTTAGAAAGTGTTTTATTTTGCATATATGTTCACATGTTTTGTTTTTTAACATTGTGTTCATGTAGCAGCTCCATTTATTTCTTTTAACCTGGTCGTTTTTTTTGTAACATTTTAAAAGTTTATTGTAAAAATAGTTTTACTGATTGAATAGAACTGTTTTTCCCTCGTGCGTCTCTTTTTTGCCCCTTTAATTTTTTTACTGTTTTACCTTTGCCTGCAGGTCGCTGCGCCCCGATGAAGAGCATCTCCAGCAGCCTGAAGGAGACCATGAATCCAGGGGATATGGTCCAGGACGCCATCCATAACTTCTCCCCAGCCTATCAGCAGTACACCCAGCAGTCCACGCTGGAGCGGGGCGGGGGGCCGTCCCTGTCCCGCAGCCACAGTAACCTCAGCACCCGCGGAGACAACGAGAAAACCCTGCTGCTCAGCTCTGACGACGAGTTCTGATGTGAAGCTCGCGTTCCTCTTGTAGTCCGCGCTGAAATCCTCTCAGCCGTGTGAGACGATCAGATCTGGTTAAGCCTTAAACATGAAAGGTGGAGTTTCAGTTTGGATTACAGTGAAAGCTCAGATTTAGACTTAAAAATGGTGGATTGCTGCAGTAGACAGATAAGGAAATGTTTAATGAAATTTGAACTACTGATCAAGAAGTGAAGTTCTTGCAGCTGTTACAGATAATAAATAAAACCATCAAGGTACATTTCCTGGATACTGATTAGTACAACGTGCCTGCATAAAGCTTCTTGGATAATGCACTTTACTGGGTACAGCAGAGAAGGTGTCACTAAAATAAGCCATTGGACAAACAAAAAGTGCCATCTTCTTTTGAACCTCATGGCTTATTTAGTTTATTCTTTAATGTTATTTTTCAGCCTTTTTAACTAAAATATTATAACTTATAGTGCAGATTCCAACTTTATAAGACTCCCTGTTTTTAGGTTCACAATTGCCTAAAATCTAAAGAAAGACGACAAAAACACATTTTATTAACAGCTGGCTTTAAATGTATCAACTTTAACCACAAAACTATTTTATATTTCCTGCCGTGGGACTTGAAGCAGAGCTCATTTAAAAACTGCTTTTTGAGATGTTATAAAATATATTCTGTGTTTTCTTATGAAGCTCAAGTGTATTAAGTTTAGCTGCTGGCCCGGTTCTGGGAGGAGAGTGTTTGTGGAGTAAACAGCTGTATGAGAGATTTTTATTTTTCCTAAGCGTGGGCGGAGGGACAGGAGCCACGCAGATTACAGATTACAGATTACAGAAGCAGCTCTTCCTGTATGGGCCCAGCTGTGATATCTGTAATTTTCTAACTAGCGGTGTGTTTCAGGCCGGCTCCTGCTGGTTCTGCTTGTTGTCAGGTTACGTTCCAGACAGAGAACGCTTTAAATCTCACTTCATTTACATTCCTAATATATATTTTTGACCCTGTTTTTTTTTTTTTTTTGTTCATATTGTTTTGAAACGTGTACATGGAAGCATGAAAGCAGTGTTTTAGTGAATTATTCATTTATTCTCACTTGTTTTGTTATTTTTTTCAGTCTGTACTGCCTGGTGTTTGTTGGCCAGAGCACAGCTGGATTAAATCTGAGCGTCTCCTTTACAAAGCATTAAAACTACTGGCGCCTCTTTTTCTTCTTCTTTTGGCTGCTCACTTTAGGAGCTCCATTTTTTTTTTTTTTTTTTTGATGGATCTTGAGTGCATAAGTTAAGTTTAGGGTTAAGCGCATTCGTACCAAAACAGAACATCTTATTTTTATTACCCTTAACTTAGCCCTCAGGTGATAGCATATCTAGCTCAAGCGTATTGATTATAACTAAAATAATAGATATGTGTAAAGTCGGTCTTAAAGCTGCAAACGTTGTGTATATAGAGCCCGCTGAAACACTGTGACATATTTATGGTGATGTAATGACTGCTTGGTTTAGTGCTTTGTTTGTATACTTGAGCTTTTTATTATTTTCGTATTAGTTTTAATATGTATATTGGGTATTTTGTTTTGACGTTATATTGATTTCTGTTGGTGTTGCAAACGGAATAAAAGACTTTTAAAAACATTTATAGTTTTGCCCTCAAGTTTTTGTCGGCAGGAGTCCAGTGGCCCAGATCATGGATTAAACTGGGATGTTGGTGTTGTCCTGTCGAGCCTCTGCTTGATGATGAGTTTCTCTTTGTAGGGATCATCTCACCTGTTCATGAGTCCATGGTGATCTGCTGGAGAGGTGGGCTGCACGCGTCTTGCTGTCCATGTTTAATCAGGAGATCTGTGATCCACCAGGTGGGTCTCAGGAAAACTGAACCCACATTCATGATGACCGGCGCCTGGCTTGATGTTTGTGCTTACAAGTTCAAGGATTGTCCAAGCGCAGCTTCCTGAAGGTTGTTTGAATCCTACTTTTGTGTCCTGACGTCTGAATGAAGCACCTCTCTGTTTTTCTGCTCTTTCTTTCTGGATCCTGTCTTTCAGCTTCTTGCTCTCATTTTCTCATTGCTTCATTTCTGCCGCCTTTCATTTTCTCTTAAATGTTTCATTTTTATTACATCATCATGTTCCTGTTATCTTACTTTGTATAAATCATTTATCTAGTTCTCCCTCTTTAGTTTATTTCACTGTGTGCCTCGTTTTCAACTCCCTTACCCTCTTTTTTCACACTAGCAGTTTTTCTTTGTATATATCTGACTTGGCTACAAGTTAAACTTCTAGGGAGCCCACCTTGACACCCCCTCACAGAATACACCCATCTGTTCTTTAATTGTCATTTCTTGTTAATAAACTTGGAACAACTGGGCTCCTGGTTTCCTCCATTATTAGAAATAACTGAAGAACAAACTATGACTTCCTTTGTTCTGCTGCTCAGTTAGAAGTTGGTTTATTACTGACAAAATGTGGAAGCTGACAGGAACCCAGAAAACATTCGACCTCTTTTGATTGGGAACATTAACCCAGGACCAAATAGGAAGCAGCAGTTTGTCTGTCATCCCTAAATCTCTCAAAGTTCTCGTCTCCATTTCTTCTTCCACCAACCTTCATCCCTGTGCTTCTTATCTGCAAATGTTCCTGTTGCACAGAGAAACCGGACGGGCTGTCACTACATACTGCAGCAGCTGGCCAAGAAGACCATGTGTCGAGATAAGGTTTCCACAAACTTCACTGTATCTCCTGATTATCTTTTTTTTTTTGTAGCTGCAGGTCTAACGAGCCTGATGTGCAGGGTGAGTGATGGATGGGTGTATCCAGCTGCAGCAGGGCTGGGGTCCAGCAAGGCTCCATCTACCACAATAACAGCATCAAAATCTCCAGGGGCAGCTCCAGTCTGGAGACCAGTTGGGGGACCAGCCCCACAATCTAACCCATAATGAGCCTGATGGGGCATAATCTTCATCTCTATCAGGCAGAAAATAATTTGATGCGTCACGATTTATTTAAGTCATGCTTAAAAACCTCCATTTCTTCAGCATAAATTAATGTTTTGTGATTTCTGTTTGAGATATAAACTTTTGAAACAAATCGAATTAATCCATTTTTATTTTTTATGTCAGTAAAGCCAGGTTTGTTTTTATTTTTGCTGTAGTGAACCCCCAAAAGATTCCTGGGCCTTTTACAGGCAGGTGCTGAGATTCTTGTAAACTTACAGATGTTTGAAGTAAATCACCAGTTTTGTGTCCAATTGATCAGAGAGGGTTCTTCGTTAAGACATTCAGAGATCGAGATATCTTGAGCTCGATTAAGATAGTTTTTGTTTTCAATGTACAATGATGTGCTGAGTTACAAGTGAACGAACATTTGAAGCTGGTATTCACCGTAAAACAAGTCAGTCATGTTTAACTTGTTTTTCAGATCAGTTCCAGAACAACTCGTCTTTGTAGAAGGAACAGTAAATTTTACAACCAGCTTACGGTGTTGAATAAAACTTCTCAGAGCACATTTGTCTTCTACAGAGGAACACTCCTTCACATCAAGAAAAAATAGATTTTCCAGTTAGAATATTTTATTATGTTCTTTGCACACTGCACAGGTCAAATGTACATGACTGACGTGCCATCACTGGCATTTACAAAGCAGTTCGACTGGAAATGAATGCAGTGGAAGTGGCTGAGAGCCTGTGGGGGGCATGGTTTGACATGCAGAGCTGATTGATTGATTGATTGATTGATTTTAATTAAACAAATCAGACATGTTGGAGACTAACGCTGCGCTCAGAACTGCTCAGTTTGCATATATTCAAGTTTCTGATATTCAATTGAACCCAGTAAATACTTCCATATTAACTTATATACTACGATAATAGATGTACTTCTAAGTTAAACCATAGTAAAGATAAAACAATAAATGTAGCTGATTTGTTACCCAGATATAATTAACACGTAACAGGTGGGAAATAAATTAAAACGAGTACAAAAACATGTAACAGATGAGAAAATAAATCATTTTGAAAGAAATAACTATGTTAAAATAGGCACATATGGCAGAAAATACACAACTCTGATGTCACAGTAGATTTTGTTCGAGACACAACAAAGAGACGAAAACAATCCGCAATCAGAAGGTGACTCAGCACAAACTAAACCAACGCCACAAAGTTAATTAATCAGAACTGTTTTTCGTGAATCGAGTCAAAAACTTTGCGTTTAATTTAGCAAATGTGTCGTTTGTTCGCAGAGCATGCTGAGCTGGAGGTAAACACACGAGGATTTAGAAAGAAAAAGGCAGGAAAATAAAAGTGCACGCTGTTAAAAAACACCGTAGATGAGCAGAGTGACAGCTGTGGGGAGGCAGCTGCAGGCTGGTTTCAGCACAGCCGCATCCAAAGACAGATGAAGACACACGGGACTAATCCAGAGCGAAGTGCACGCTGAGGACGAGGAGAAGAAGCCCTAGAAAACGATACCGGTCCATCGGAGGGTCGACGTGACTGCAGAGGAAAACAGGACGAGTCGGAGTGTTGTGGAGGGGAGAGGAGGCCGAGTCTGAAAAGCAGAAAGTCTGTCAGGTTGGGTTTAGATGCTATAGGTTCCCCCACTTCTCCGGAGGAGGAAACTGTTCTACGCTGCCGCTCTCGCTGTGCTCCTGCTCTCCCACGCTGAAGGTTAGTCTGAACTGCAGCCGAACCTTCTCCTGAAAACACAGGTGGGTAAACGTTTAGACGCAGAGAGAGAATCGCTGCAGCATATACACAAAAGCTAAAGGGTTAGTTCACATCCAGATAGTTAGAAATCATAAACTACCTTGTTTGGGTTTGCTATGAGAAGGATCTGTGTGACGGCAGCAGGAGGGAGGATGGGATTAAAAGCTGGGAGCTCTGCTCCTGATGGAGGCTGCAGCTTTACTGCTAAACACTGATCAACACACAGAAAGAGTTTTACTGAGGAGATCAGCTGCAGCGGGTCTCATTTAGGACTAAACCGATTCACTGCTCACCTTTGGAGCAGTGACCTGAAAGTGTATGTTGGTGACAGGAGCGGGGGCTGAGGACAACATGGATATGATCACCACCAGCACGTCGGGGCGACACGGAGGGGAGTCCCGAGCAAAGTGGAAGAGAACTCGCAGACTGTGTCCGTCAAACACAGTTACAGGTAAAAGACTACCTGAGGAGAGGCCAAAACAAGGAGCATCTCTTAGAACTTTTAGAGCAATCAAAACGTTAGACAGGTTTATATACATGAGATTAGCAGTGATGTGGGTTTACTTACTGGGCTTTATAGATTCTAGAGGTACAAAAACATTAGCCAGAGTAACGTCAGCAGAAGGAGTTTCTAAGTGAGCCGGAGACGTGTCCAGCAGAGTGGCTCCAGGTTTGGGCTGACAGTTTGGAGGAGGAGCGGGGTGATCGGAGACGAAGGGTAGAGCAGGGTGTGAACCAACACTGGCTGCAGATTTGTTCTGAAGATCTCTGAGAGTTGGTTTGGACTGCTGCTTGTCCCTTAAAGGAGAAAAATAAACAATGTTTAGGTTCATGCTCTTCTGTTCTCTTTAATTTGAATACAGGTTTACTGTTATGTTTAGAAACCAAAGTGAAGTGCAGTTACTACAGGACAATATCAGTCTTGTTAGGAGTGACAGCATACACAAATACACTCGAGACTCAAAAAAACTCAAAAGTATTAGGACCATCTTGTGGCCTGTTTGCAATAAAATCAGCAGTAACGTTTAGGTAGTGATGGTCCAACAAACTCCATGCTCAATAATCCAGGTATACAATCCAACAATTTTCAGTCCGGTCATCTGGACAGTTTCTTTTTTTTATTTTTTTCTGAAACGTTTCACCTTCCATCCAGAAGGCTTCATCAGTCAAGGAAACACAAAACTGATTCTTCCTCCAACAGCTTACTCCAAAGTGGATCAAACCAGTTATGTTGGTGCTAGACTGTCCAGATGACCTGACTGAAAATTGTTGGGTAGTGATGGTCCATTTGAAGCTGAAGCTCCAGGGCATGTATCAAAAACAACAGTGTCTCTGAAGCTTTGTGTTGGAGCTTGATTCAATTGGGAAAAGTCGTGATCAATGTCATCCGAAGCTTCAAAAGTGCTGAAGTTGCATCACTGCTTTGGTACCGGATTCAAAGCTTTAGGAAATAAATCATTGGCTGGATTAGTGGTTTTGGTGGCACAAAATATAACAAACCAGCAAGCGACATAACAAGACATGGAGTCAGCCAGACTTGTGTTTTATGTTTTATCAGTTCATAAGCACTTTTGTCCCAAGGGGACAAAAACGAGAAAAACACTATATGTACGTAAATTTCAATCTGATCTCCCAGTAAACATAAACTTGTTCATAAAGTCATGGAGGCAGGGAACTTGCAGCACAAACACCATTCCAGACTGGCTTCATTTCTAACCCGGGCCCGAATGTCAGCCCAGCCCGAATTTGGACCGGGTCATAATAATGTGCTGGATGGACGGGCCGGGTCAGTGTCAGGCTTTTGATTGCATCAGCCACGAGCTAATTATATGATAACATGGCCTGCCATACAATCACCAGCCGAACGTGTCCATTTCACCGCGAGCTGACCGGCCTTGAAACAGGTAAAATAAAGTTGTTACGCTTCAGATGGGACTGTACTGCCAGGAAGCGACCCATCGCCCAAATGGACGCTCAGCCTGCACAACGACCCAAACAGGTGAGATCCTGAAAGGACAAACCCCCCCTCTTCTGCCCCTTTAATTCAGCTGTGCGTCTGCCGACCATTAACTATATAAACAGTCAAAGCTTCATTAAAAATGTCGGGTGTTTCGGGTTCGGACATGTAAATACTGTCAATTTGTCGGGTGGGGTTCGGAAATGATAGCTACAGGCTGGAGCTGGGTCGGATCAGATTTTTTGGACCCGAATGCATCTTTATTGTGTTGTGAATTAGATATGATTTATTTTATTTTTTTTAATCTGTGTTTACAAATATCAAGAAGCCCATAAGCAAAGAAGCATCATGCCATGTCACGTGTTTTAGTTATTCATCACATATGTATAACTTTATTCTGTCACCTACAAAAAAATAAATGTTCAAAGCCCCTCAATGACGGCTTGATACCAGAGAGAAATGTGTCAGGATAATAAATAAAAGCTGTCAACACCGTCAGTTGGACAAGCGCAGGCGATTCATTTCAAGCAGCTCTTTGTACTTTTGGCCACAAGATGAAGCCAAAGAGGACAGTTTTGAAAAGATTTGAGCACTGAACCCTTTTTTTGAAACAAGCTTCAGTGCTTCAGAAAAGCTTCATTTGCCCATCACTATGTTTAGATCTTTAGATGTTCATGTGTGAAAGAAGATGCATGAACAATTACTTTATGATTGTTTCATTAACACAACAGACACACAAACACACGGACAAATAAAATATCCGAGCGATAATGAAAAACAACTGATGCATTAACATTTTCCGTCTCTTTGATTCATCATAAATGCTGAGAATGTGCAGATTTAGCCTGGACTGAGTTTACTGAATGTAGATATTTTATTTGAAAGGCGAGGAGAAAACTCTGTATAAGATGTTCAAGCTGATCGTCTTTATCCTGTAGGACACTTCAGGCCTGCAGTGCTTGTGTGCAAACAGCTCTTTTCTTAAATCATAGCTACCATTTGACCTGCAGGCCCTCTGGAGGCAGGGACTGCTGCAGCAGCGTCTTCCCCAACAGGTCCAACTCATCCAGAGCCGAGTTCCCCTGGGTGGACAAGGGGGGCTGAGAGTGGGAGGGGGGATCAGGACTCAGGAGGACACTGGGTGCTGCTGGGACATCCGCATCGATGCTGTCAGAGGACTGTGAGTAAAAACCGAGAGAGATTGTGTTCTCATCAGTGACTTAACAGGAAAGATGAAACTGGTTGTGATCTCTTTAGTTCCTCACCTGGAAGGAGTCCCACGCTGTGGAGTCCTCAGGCTGTGAGGGAGGATTGGAAATGTGTGTTCCCTCACTCAGACCTATGTAAGAGCCATAATACTGAGAAAGGGTTTCAAACTACTCTGGTATATCACAACTCTGGACTTATTTAGTCCTAAAGCACCTTAAAGTCACTTAAAAAGAAAAGTTACCAAGAGACATGAGCTCATCGTCAAGGAGACTGATCCCCATTTCCAACGAGGGAGCAGTGAAGCTGTCTGTCGGAGTGGGGAACTCTGGGGGTGACTGGGGTGACGTGTCCAACCCAGACAGGTCCAGCAGCGCTGTTCGTCCTGCTGGAAAAAAAGAGATTTAAATCTATGGATGATTACTCTCAGCTCATTTTAAATAAGTGTTTTTACCCACCGGTAGGTTTCTGTGTGTTTAATATGTTGTTTCCGTTCACAGTCTCCCCCTTCACCTGCTGCTTGTACAGGTTGATGACCTGGGTCAGACTGTCGTTGGCCTGAAGGATGTCGGCTGCAGAGAGACATGATACAGCTGATTTTAATATGAATCAAAACTTTGTGAGCAGCTAGAACAGAATTACTCTATTTTGAATTACACACTTATTTACAGGGAATGTTATGTTTTTAATCCAAGCGCTAATGGAGGCATCACTTTTGGCACAGCCTGGGCTAAATCAATCAATCCATCCATCCATCAATCAATCATCTTCCGCTTGTTCCGAAGTCGGGACGCAGGGACAGCAGCCTAAACAGGGAGGCCCAAACATCTCTTTCCACAGCCACCTTTTCTGGGAGGACTCAAGGCGATCCCAGGCCAACCAAGAGACGTACTGGCCTGGGATCCAACTCACTACCAGGTGGTGGTCAGTTGACAGCTCAGCTCCTCTCTTTACCTGAGTGTCCAAAACAAGTGACTGCAAATCAGATGATGACACGACTATAACGTCAATCATCGGCCTAAAGCGTCCTGGTGCCAAGTGCACTCATGGACACCCAAATGTTCAAACATGGTGTTTGTGATGTACAAACTATGACCAGCACAGAAGTCCAACAACAGAACACCGCTCAGGTTCAGATCAGAGAGGCCGTTCCTTCCAGTCACACCCCTCCAGGTCTCACTGTTGTTACCCACATGGGCATTGAAGTCCCCCAGCAGAATAAAGAAGTCCCCAGCTTCCAGCACCCACCACTAAGGATTCCAGGGCCGGGTACTCTGAACTTCCATTTGGTGTGTAGGCACAAACAACAGTCAGAGCCCATCCCCCCACTCAAAGGCACAGGGAAGCTATCCTCTCATCCACTGGGGAAACCTCCAACACACAGGTCCAAATATTGGGGGCTAAGAGTAGACTCATACCAGCTCGACGCCTCTCACCATGGGCAACTCCAGAGTGGAATAAGGTCCAGTCCATCTCAAGGAAATCAGTTCCAGAGCCCATGCTGTGCGTCGACGTGAGTCCAACTATATCTAGTCGGTACCTCTCAACCTCACACACAAGCTCAGGCTCCTTCCCCACCAGAGAGGTTATGTTCCATGTTCCAAGAACCAGCTTTGGTAAGCCAGGGTCAGAGTGCCAAGGCCCCCCCCGCCTTCAGCCACTTCCCATGGCGTCAAGCACCTGACTCATATAGCCCCTCCTGCAGTTGGTGGGTCCACAGGAAGGCCAACCCATGTTGCTCATTCATGCTGAGCCCGACCGGCCCCATAGGTAGAGACCTGGTCACCAGGCACTCGCGACAAGCCCCTCCCCCAGGCCTGGCTCCAGGGTGGGGCCCCGGTAACTCACGTTCAGGCCAGGGACATGAGCTCCTTGATGCTTTCGGTTCATAAAAGTCTTTGAAATCGCTCCCCGTCTGTCCTGTCACCTAGAACCAATCTGCCTGGGTAAGATCAGTCCAACACAAACTCCTCCACCAAGATGGTATGGTATAAAGTTTATTAATTTTAAAAAATACAAAACAATTCCATAACAATATAAAAAGATAAGGTAGTTATTCAAGGAGTGGGCTAATTCTTCCAGGAGCATCATGTTTCTTACAGAATAACAGTGAAATGTAAATTTAACAGTAATGTAAAGACTTGTATATTAGGATCTGAATTATTTGCTATGAAATATTAAACATTTCAGTTATTGTAAGATAAAACTTGGTTTTGTGTGTAGGTTCTTTGGATTAGCCATTATTAGCTTTTCAATATGGTCCAAACTGATCCACTTTCCAAAGCTGGTTTCGATGTCTTAAAACTTTAATTTTTAACATTCTGAAAGTTTTAATTTAACACTTTGAGACCCACGTGTCTTCATACAGGAACACTGGGTTCCTTGCATCAAAAATATTTGTATTTGTTCAAACTTAAACCTGACGTCTGTATTGACCACATTTAAATTTTATAAATGTGTTTTACATTTTGTTTTATTTTTTAAAACCAATTGTTACAATACATTTTGTTTATGTCTATGTTGTTCTACTAATTCAAATGGCTCAAAGAAATTAAAATGCCCAATAAACAAAATCTTAGGTCTCATACCTTTACATTACCTTTTAATATATGAATATTACAGCAGAAATATTATGATATTCCTGTAAAAGTACTTTATATAGTACCAGAACTGCCCCCAGCTAGCTGCTGCTGCCACTATTTACCCTTGCAAATACCCAACAATTTCTATTTAATTAACAATGTAATGTGAAATTGATATTGATGCAAACTTTATTAAAATGGGGCTTGCATGAACTGCTTTGAAATGGTTGAGAATTCAGTTATGGTAATACTGTGAAGGAAGTATATTATCTGACCTTCCACATGATCCAGTCTGTTTCATATAATCTGTGTTTTTAAAAAATTGGATTTTGTTATAATATTCAGGACATTTGATACTTGGTATTGTGATAAGCATGTTCTATTTAGATTAATAAATCGTATGACCCCATCACTGCGTCTGTGGTTCTTGGCAGTGGGGCAGGATTCAGCCATTGGCTCCTGATTCATGCTCGTCCCTGCCCCGGAGGGTTCTTGGATTTTTACTGGCTTCTGGGTTGGGTGAATCAGGAGCATTAGAAGATATACAATCGTTTTCATTTGTCAAGGGATCACAAGTTTCTCAGATTCCTGTAATCTGAGGAACAGTTGACCTGTAATTTTCTTATTCTTGTCTCTTTATTTGATTAGCTCCTTTATTTCTTTTGTATAACAAATGCAACAAAAGACAACTCACCTATTTAATTCTTGAGTTCACTATTATCTCAGCAAATCCACAACAGCACACAAAGCTACTTTGGTCTTCACCCCTCTCAGACTAGCCATTAGCTTGTCAATCAAGTCAGAATCAACCTGCTTCTCCAAACTGAGGTAATTCATAAAGCTATGTAGAACAGAAAACTGCTTATAACATTTCCAATAGACATTAACAAAAGGCTAAAATAACCATTTATACATGTACACATTAGTACTTACAGCACAGATCTTGACACTTGAGTTGAACCTCACCTCTAAAACGTATTTTTTATGTGCCCTGTTTCTAAACATGTACAAACTCAGAACCATATCAGTGATGTGATTCAAACATGGCAATGAAATATCCATCCAGATATGATCTTTAGCTTTAAACAACACTAATTATTATAACTAGATTTGCTTTTTGATGTAAAGTCACCTGAATAGCTGATAAAAATCAAACATGTAGCTCACCCAGAGCCTCGTCGTTGTCTTCTGTATCACTTGCCAGCCTGAACAACGTGGGCCTCATCTTCTCACAGCGCTGGTACAAATCCTGACCACATGGATACACAAAATCAACTAATCAAATCCTCACTCAACTTTTAATTACAAGTACAGGCTGCAGACGTGCAACTTTTTGTTTCACCTGTATCAGTTCGGCATTGCTCTGATTCGTAGCTGTTCTGTCGTAGTCCTGCAGAAGCTGAGTCAGCAGGGCGACGCTCTCCTTCACCTCCTGGATGGCGTTCACTCGCTTCGACACCTTCTCTGCTCGCCTCTGATCCTGAAACCAACGACACGTTCGCAAACATCCCATATATCTGATTTGGCAACACACAAGTGTATATATGTTTAAAAACATGCTAAATTAACCAAATTGCAAAAACATATAAAAGTAACGTTGCTGAATACATGTAGGGAAAGTTCACTACAAAATGAGACAACAGGCCAATAAAAGGACTCGGATTATACTGGTTTTCTTTAATTCAAGAGGTAAAAGAGTTATTAATCTACAATAAATGAGTTGGTATAAAGGAGCAGGAAGGAGAAAGACAAGGTTTACCTCTTGGACCATTTCCTTGATGAGTTTGTTGGCAGCTTTCAGGTCCTCGGGGTGTGAGCTGGTCAACAGGCGAGACAGCATCTGACGGAGCAAACGGCAGATGAGAAATAGGAAACCAGCTAAAACCATCCATTTTATACAACTGGTGCTTAAATATCACTGGTTAGGTCCTTACTTTGGACTTTTCCTCATCTTCAAAAATGGTATTCTTGGGTCTGGCTGGAGGAAGGTTCAGTAGTTTGTCAGGTGGAAGCTCCGGGTCTTGTTTAATGATACCTGGTTTATAGGAAGAACATGACAAGACTCGAACTGTTAGTTTCTGCTTGATTTGACTTTTCACTTTTGATTTATAAAAATATATTTGGGCAAAATAAAAAAATAAAAAATCATTAATCTGCTGGCATGCAGCTTCTTGCCTTGCTTCTTAAGCATCTGATAGGCATCAGAGATCTTGGTCTCATCAGGTAACCCCAAAGTCCAGCTATAGATCAACTCCAAAACCTTCTTTTTTACAGCCTCAGGGGAGCGGGAGCCTAAATACTGAGCAGGAGATTAAGAGTGAACATTAAAGAATGAAGAAAATAAACCAGACACAGACGCTCACAGAGAGACTCTGGACTGCTCTACCTTTGGAGAAACCACTTTGATCAGTTCGTTAAGAAACCGGAACTTGCCCACCTCGCTGTGAAACCTTTTCCCACAGTTCTTCATGCACGTCTCCAGAACCTTGTGTTGTGGCAGTGAAACAAACAAATTTAAAAGGGGTTCTTTAAAAAGGTGCTATCATTCTAAATGAGAGATGCTGGTTCAGTTCTGAACTTACTAAAAGTGCCTGCATGGCCTCCCACTCTTGTGGAGACTGGATCTTATGGGCCAGGAGCCTGGTGGCCAGCTGAGGTCTGTAACACACGTTACACATGATGTTGACTCATAAACACTACAACACAAACATTTTCTTTTATTCTTTAGGCTTAGTGGATATTAAACACATGATTACAGATTTATCTTCACTAGTTAACAAGAAGTACTGTAGAAATTGATTTTAAAACTTATAAAATTAGTACAGAAAAAAGTACGGTTCAGGAACCGATACCAAAGCAAAGGTACCAGTATTGGTACTGGTAACAATTTTTTTTTAACTATACCCAGCCCTAGTCTTATTTGTATTTTTTTTTTTTTTACCCAGAGGAATTTCATCTTTCAGACAGTTGCACCTCCAGTATTGTGCACAGACTGTGTTGATTCTTTAAAATACAAAACACCTAACATTATGCTCAGTTGTTTTCATGCATTTTTTTTTAGTTTGTTTAGAATTTTGACATTATTTAATTTATTGAAACAAATTTATCCCACTGGGATTAATAAAGTACCACAAATCTGATCTAATTAATGTATTTTTTTTAATTGTGCAGTACTGTATTAATTTTTTTCTGCGAAAGATATTTAAAAAATTCCACTTTTACAATTGTGAAAGTAAATGCATGAATCTTTTCTCTCAGTTAATGATGAATATTAGATTAATTACGATTTTAACTGGAAAATCGGTCTTCCTGTGTAGAAAAGGTAATCATTTACGATGTTAAAATCTTAAACGTTAATCAATTTAACTGTACAACAGCAAGGATTTTGTTACAGAATGACTTATAAACAACATTAAGAGTCCCGAGTGGGCTCTTACCCCTCTAAATCATTGTTGAGCTGCTCACAGAAGGCGTGGATGCTGCTCCAGTCCGTCTCTCGGTTCAGTGGGTTTGTGGCTCTGTCTAAATTTAGCAAGAAGCACAAACCACAACAAAAGTAACAGATGGCACATTCAATATTAGAACACAAGTGACTACTTTATGATGATATATGATAGAAATCACTTTTTTAATGTTAAATCTAATGATCTCATCTAATACAGCGTAATATATGTTTCTAAGAACCAAAAACATTTTAATTTGCATTCAATAATGACTGTAATCAATTTATGTAACAAAACAATTAAAACACACAACTTAATAGTGAAAGCAAGAACTTTCTAGACAGCAATAAATTGAAATCGCCACAAATTACTAAATAAAGTGAACCCTTTACCTTCAAATGTTTTAATTTTTGCTATTGTTTCTAACAAACTGGCATCCAAGTGTTTTTCTTTACAGAAGAACTTTTAAAAAATGATAAACAATCAATGCATTTTATGTTTCTAAAAATTAATTACGGTAGTGTTTCAACTTGAGCTAGATCAATATTGTGGCTGATTGATTTAATGTAGTTAACATCAGCCCATTTAAAAAAAAAGGGGGGGGGGACACCAGTAATCAGTTATACCTGTACATAATTAATTAATGAGCGAGTCGGAAAACGAAGATGCAGCTGCAGCTGCTGCTACAACCGGCTTACCGTAGCTCACAATTTAGTTATTTAGGCAAGAATGCTCTTTTGTTATTTTTAAGTGCACAAGTTCTGTTAAATATATGTTTTGCATTTAATATATATATATATATATATATATATATATATATACGTATTGTTAAATAAAAATACAAATTGACCAATAACAACGCTAAATAAATAAATCAATGTTCATCATCTGCCCTGATTTTTAAAGATCAGCATCTGCCTAAAAAAACAAAACAAACAAACAAAAAAAAAACATATTGGTCGACCTTTTGGTCCAACATCTTGAATTTCAAGACTCCAAACTTTTCCTTACTCAAGATCACTTTTTTAGGTTGAGGCACTTTTCACTGTAAATTTACAGTAAATATTTGTACACTGTTCAAACTTTATTATCTGTATACTTCAAGCAACACAAAGTCACAGACTGTTATATATAAAATAAAAAAGGGAGCTCTGTGAAAAAACAACAACTTGCTTTTCCAATGTTGTCCTTATTACTAGATGTTCAGTCTGTAAATGATGTTCCCATGGACTGCCAGCCAGGTTGTATGACTACATGCAACGTATGATAGATGGTCTGTACTTTTCAGAACCTACAAAAAGTATTCACCAGTTTTTAAAACTGGTGGACAACCTGTCCCACCACCTGAGACACAGAGCTCCATGCACCTGGAGTGCTGAGTCCATACAACCTGTGGGTTCTCAGTAACTCAAAAACCAAAATCTTGATGCCAAAAACTTAAAGGCTGGATGTGATGCATGAACCAAAATGTCTCTAGTCTTGTCTTTTAATTACTTGTTTAGATTAGAATGTTTAGCTTAGGTTAGAAGATGCATTTTTGCTTTTATTACAAGTCTTTTTGTATTTATTGTTCTGTTGAGTATCTGCACTGTGTGTTGTATTGTTTTTGCACATAATGTTCTGTGCTGCACCATGAGCCTGGTGAACATGGTTTCATTTTAATATGTACTTGTACATAGCTGAAATGACAATAAAACCTGTCTGACTCAGACTCAGAAAAGGTGACATCATCTACAGCGACTACTCATTTTTCATACATTATCAATATGAAAATCACTGGTTGTTTAAGGAAGTTACTAAAAATTCATATTTTGTCATTCAGAGAATAGATATGAGAAAATAATCTAAAATGTTTTGAGTACTTCTGTTCTGATCTCTAAACGTAGAGCTGGTAACTATTAAAACAGAATTTAAAACAAGATTCTGTAGAAACCATCAGTAAAGAGCTCGGCACATAAGAAACATTAAAATGGTTTCAAGGGTAGAGTGGTCCCATCATTTAAAATTTAAAATGCATCAAGTCGGTGCCAAATCTCAAATATCTTGTCGCCGGTCAGAGGTGCTAACAGTCTCACAAGCTAGCTGTTTCTGCCGGGAAGTGTACAGTCTCGCCTTGATCGATTTATTTTATTTTTTACAAAGTTAAAGGACTGTCACAACCATAGTTTAACTGTGTCGCGAAGAACTGTGCGCCCACAGTTTGGGCCGTAAAGCTACGCCTGGCTGTGTTCATTGACAGCTGGCAGGTAAAGCTCCGGGAGCTAAGGTTAGCATCCTGGCTGTAGCGGCGGGCTTTGAGTCCTCTCTGCTGCGGTACATGAAGCTGCAATAAGCTGACATTTCATCCTCATCTCGCTGATAATAATGCGCCAACCTCCAGGTCGTGAGACAATACCGGCTCTGTGTAAACGAGTTAAAAACACTTACTGATACGAGACTCCAAACTCTCTGTATCCGGGGGCGCAGCCATCACTACGAGATTTATGCGATGCCTGTCAATCTCGCGAGAGTTGCGCGGCTAACGAAACCCGGAAGTGACGCAAAGTTTATTTATTTATTTAATTAATTTATAAACAGCATTTACAACAAATATGGCATCGATATCAGAGATATTCGAATCTGAAAAAAGCCAGCACAGGTTGCTTCCAAACACATAAATAATAATAATAATAAAAAAAATAATAATAAAAAAAAATAAGAATACAAGAATCAAATAGAATAAAATAACAAAAAAATAAATTAACAAATAAAATAAAAATTAGGGGTTTTCCAGTAATTTCAGTTCGTCCACCCCTTGATGTTTGTCCATGAACTTCATAGATAAGAAGAGGTGGCAGAGTTCCTTGTGAAAAGTGAGGAATGATGGTTTTGTTTTAAGGAAACGGCACTTGTGAATGAAATATTTGCCCATAACAATAATTACATTTAATAACTTTTCACGATCGTTTTCTTTTCTCAGGGATCCAAAAATAATGTCATTCTTAGCAAATTCACGTAAATTTGGAATTTTAGGGAAAAGCCAGTGCACATCATCCCACAAAGCTTTAAAATACATACATTCATAGAAAATGTGTTCTATTGATTCAATATTATCATCACAAAATGAATAAGTGTTGTCATCAATTGCAAAACGAAGTCTGAGGAATTCCTTGGAGGCGTAAACCCCTGAAAAGGTTTTAAAGTGGACTTCCTTAGCTTTTGGAGGAGTGGGAAGATTTAAATAATTTGTTCTAATTTTATTTTTTCTTTTGATCTTTTGAAAAGAAATGTGAAATAAAATTTGGATTAGATAAAAAGGGAAACATAGTATTGTTAAAAAATTCCCTAATTTTAGAATTTTTAAGTTTGTTATTTGTAATGTTGTGCCCATTAATCAGAAGTCCAGGCAGAACTGGACTTTTATAAGCAGGTTCTCATAAAGACTTGTAGCTGTACATAAAATGTTTGGGGGAATAGCTCTATTAATTTTTTGAAATTCACTTTTATTTATTTGCAGGTTATATTTAACAGTGAAATCTTCAAAAGACATAACACCTCCATCATTTAATAAATGCATCACAGACCAAATACCTTGTTCAAACCAATTATGTGCAAAGATTGATTGATTTCTAACTTTTATGTAACAACAGTTCCACAGGGAGCGTTGTGTGGGCTATATTTATGTTTGTAGATTAATCTCCAGTATAATAAAACTTGCTGGTGAAAGAAGGAAAGCTTTACAGGCAGTTTTTTAACATCAAAGTCACATTTAAGAAGGAAGTTGACTCCACCCAGATTTGAAACTATGTTGCTTGGAATATGGAACCAGAGCGTTTTGATTAGTTAAAAATGACCGAAGCCAATTTATTTTTAAGGTGCCATTCAGGCTGTCAAACTCAATAGCTTGCAATCCTCCACCTTCAAACTGTTTGATTAAATTACTTTGTCTGATATAGTGTTTTTTTTTGCTTCCAAATAAAATCAAAATTCATCCGATTAATAGATTTAATTGCTGAATTGGGTATTCCTAATGTACATGCAGGGTAGATAAACCTTGAAATACTTTCCATTTTGGTGAGATATATTCTTCCCAGAATAGATAAATCTCTGAGTGTCCACTTATTTAAATGAGTTTTGCAATTTTGTAGTTTCACTCAAAAATTAAGGTTTTCTAATTCAGACTTATTTTTATTTATATACACACTCAGATATTTGACATTAGATTTTACAGGAATATTAAAAGCGGTAGATAAAGGGCAGTCTTTTAGAGGCAACATTTCACATTTGTTTAAGTTTAGTTTAAGCCATGAGGCCTTTGAAAAAAGTTAAATTAATTGGAGAATTTTAGGAATTTCATTGAGGTTATTTAAAAAGATTGTTGTGTCATCAGCTAACTGACTGATAGAAAACTCTTTGCCTAGCACAGATAATTTACCAAATTGAGCATTTTTAATTGATATGGAAATCATTTCTGTAGCTGCAATAAGCAGCAAAGGAGAGACTGGACATCCTTGTTTTATACCTTTGTTGATCCTGAATCTTTGTGAAGTACCACGTGTAACACACACTGAGCTGTTTGTATCTTTATACAATGTTTTAATTACATTAATAAATTTATTCCCAAATCCAAAGAAATCTAAAGCTTTGAACATAAAGTCATGCTCTATCATATTAAAGCCTTTATAAAAGTCTAAAAATAAAACAAAACCTTCATTTTCAATTAAGTGGTTATATTCAATTAGGTCCAAAATAAGACGAATATCTATGGAGCGGCCTTTTAGAAAACCTGACTGAGTGTCAGAAATAATTTGAGATATGCCTGATTTTAATCTGTTAGCAAAAACGTGGGTCAGGAGCTTGTTATCATTATTCAATAGTGTTATAGGTCTTAAAATATCAAGAAGAGTTGGATCTTTCCCAGGTTTAGGAATGAGTGTAATAATACCTTGTTTCATGGTGTGTGTTAAACAGATAGTTTCTAATATTTCAGTAAGTGTTCCAAACATCAGGGTTGTAGTACGGAGTATGAACCCAAAAATGTTTGTAAAAGTTACTTGTCAGGCCGTCACAGCCTGGGGCTTTATCTATGGATAAAGAGCTTTATCCAATTCTTCTTTGGTATATTTCTGCCTCACATCTCTGCTTATAATCATCATCAATTTTAGGAATCAAATGCTGAATAGAATGATAGAATGTTTCTGCCATGTGGTTATTATATGAGGAAGAATATAAATTACTGTAGAAGGTAAAAATTTCTTTGGATATTTATTTTTTAGTCTGTGCAAGGTTTATTATCAATTTGTAAGCAATTTATCACATTTCTTTCTTGACTAATTTTTTCTAATCTACAGAAATGTGATGTACTTTTCTCACCATCCTCAATCCACTTAGCTCGGGATCTTAGATAAGCTCCCTTGGCTTTTCTTGTATAAATTTCATCTAGATCAGATTGTAGAATTTTTCTGCGCTGTTTGTCATCATCATTAAAAAAGGGTTTAGAGCAGATGTGACTAAGCTCTCTAATGATTTCTAATTCCTTTTTCTTATTTTGGATAGCTATTAATTTACTGTGTTTGAGTGAGATTTGGCGGACTTTAAATTTAAAGAATTCCCATTTTTTTGTGTAAGAATTCAGATTTTCATCAGTACAAATTAAATTAAGGTGCAGTTTCCATACTGCCTCAGCAAATCTACAAAGAACACTTCAGTGAAACACCACTATGCCCTCCTGACCTCCGTCTAGTTACTTATGCAAAGAAAACAATCCCTGTATAAGGATGTTTACAAGTTGAAGCAAGTAGAGGAACTATTACCACACCAGCTACCCTTTTTGTTGTAAAACAGGGAACTCCTCTTCTTGGCCGAGACTTGATGGAAGCACTGCACATCTGCATCACTGGAAACGCTGTTCTTCCACCATGTACTGCCCCTGCTACTCCTGTGATGACAACAATCACATCACCTGCATCGCTCACCTCTGCTGCTCCTGATATAGGCTGTGTGAAATCCTTTGTTCATAAAGTAAAACTAGATCCTACAGTCAAACCTGTAAGACAGAAGCTTAGACACCTTCCCTTTGCAGTGAGCTCCAGACAAAGAGCATGTCGATGCTGTATTGAATGCTCCTCCACCTACTGATGCTGCTGCATTGAGATCCTTTCTGGGGTTGGTGTCCTGGTACTCCAAGTTCTTGCCCAATTTTGCAACTATAGTGGCTCCAGTGCGTTCTTGTGGAAGTGCAACAAGCAACTATGCATGGACTAAAGAAGCACAGACAAGCTTTGAAGAAATTAAGCAGCTTCTGGTGAACAGCCCTGCTCTAGCGCTGTTTAATCCAAACCTACGCATTGTGATATCCACTGATGCCAGTGATTACGGACTAGGTGCTGTCTTTACCCAAGTTCAGTCTGATGGAACAGAGAAGCCTGTGGCCTTCGCTTCCCGCACACTTTCTGTGACCGAACAAAAGTATTCTACCGTCGAGAAGGAGGCGCTAGCATGTGTGTGGGCTACAGAGAAATGGAGAACATACTTATGGGGTCGACGCTTCATCCTCCGAACAGACCATCAAGCTCTGACCACACTTCTGAGCACAAAAGGAATGAATAGAGCTGGAATGCGCATTGCACGATGGTCAGCTCGCTTGCTGTGTTTTGATTATGATGTCATCTACCGACTGGGTTCTCAAAACTACACAGCAGATTACCTCTCACGTCTGCCTCTGCCTGGGACTTCAGATCCTGCACCAGACGTGGATCCAGAAATGGTGGCTCAGATTTCTGCTACTCTCTCTGCACTTCCTGTTTCTGACTTTGATTCAGCTTGCTCCTCATGCCCTGAACTAACAGATCTGCGTGTACAAATGGAAAAAGGATGGCCTGCCTCCATTAAATCAGTCAGTGATACACTTGCTCCTTACTACAAGATCGGAGACGAACTCTCCACCTACAGTAACTACATTCTCAGAGGTACGAAACTCATCGCACCACCTTCTGTCAGACATACACTGATTACACTAGCACATGAAGGTCATCAAGGAATTGAACGCACGAAACAGTGCTTGAGAGAACTCTACTGGTGGCCAAAAATGGACTCACAAGTTCAGGATGCCATAACATCATGTGTCATGTGTCAGTCCAATGACAAAACTGCCCAAACACGCCCTGCTCCACTTCAGCTGGTACCGCTGCCCGATGGACCATGGAAAAAGCTTGGAGTTGATATTGTAGGACCATTTGACACAGCTATTCCTTCTTGCAGATTTGCCATTACATTGACGGATTACTATTCTAAATGGCCTGAACTTGCTTTCTCACATACTGTCACTACGAACGATGTTATTCAATTCTTATCATCTGTTTTCAGTCGTCATGGTAACCCTGAGAACATTGTGACAGACAATGGCACTCAGTTTACATCAGAAGCCTTCGCATCATTCCTCCAGAATAGAGGAATATCTCACCCTAGAACAACTGTCTACTATCCAGCTGCCAACGGAGCCATTGAAAGGTTTCATCGTGCCCTCCGCACCTGCATTCAAACTGCAATCCAACAGTCTACACCATGGAAAGACACTGTGACAGAATGGCTTCAAGTATACCGTGCAACGCCTCATGCAACTACCTCCACCTCTCCGTATGAACTTCTCTTTGGCAGGAAGATGCGAACTAAACTGAACATACTCCCTTTGCCTCCTGTCACATCTCCACTGCATGACAAGGCACAACGTGAAGTTCTGAAAAATCTAAACAAAATGAAACGTTACACTGATGCCAAACGCAGTGCAAGGGTGCCTTCATTCTGGTTAGGAGAGAGGGTGAAGATACGGAATCCATTACACGTTCCAAAAGGCAGTGGTGGGATGTAACTAAGTACAAATACTTCGTTACTGTACTTAAGTACATTTTTCATGTATCTGTACTTTACTTAAGTAGAGTTAAATGTGGGTGCTTTATACTTTTACTCCACTACATTTTACATCAAGTATCTGTACTTTCTACTACACTACATTTCTATAACACGTTGCATTACAAGTTACATTGATGTTGCGGCTTTTTGATTTGTTCATTAGTTTGAAAGTAATCAACGGTGAGAGGGGAGCTGGTCCATTGAATCACTGCAAAGTGGGCAGGTAACATTAGACCCACCTTCAAGAAGAGCTGGACCAATGACGTATATTCTAGTACATATGTCACTGAGCTGGGTGCACCCACAGCACCACTAACACACCTAAATGTATTCCACCACAAGAGAGTCAGCTAGAAGATACGCACCACGCATGGCCTTATTGAAAGACTGTTCAGTACAACAGGACAGATTCTCTCTCCCTAAAGATCCAGACTGGACTCAAAAATCTTTGAAAACCAACTTCTTCTGAACTTGAACAAGAAATTTTTGCTGCAACATTAAAATGTGTCAGTTCATGATGTTAGGAGACAAGAGATGTCTTCAAATGTCTCGACACTCAGGTCCAAGTTTTAAAAATGATGTCAGGAAGTTAAAATATTGTTCAATATTGACCCATTACAAGGTTGAATAGAAAGTATTTTAACTAGAGTTGATGACAAACTGGAGTTGAAATATCAGTGGAAATGATCAGAGCCTATTTCATTGTTTGGTCTAATGCCCCTTTTGTTCAGGCAGACAACTTTTACTTAAATGTGTTTACTGCAGTTAAAATGACACATTGGTTTTGATTTGTGTTAAATAAAAACTGTCAAAGGTATAATCATTCCTCTTTCTTATTTTGCTTAATGACATTTAACTCTGCAGAATGTGTCATTATTTTTTCCCCAGGAATTTAGCAGATGTTTGAAGCCACTCAGGGTCGAGAGCTTCAGATCTGAGGTAAGTATTTTATTTAAAAGTACTAGTAACACAAAAAATCTAATAAATATAAATGTAAATAAATATACTCACAGGCAAGTACGTCCAATACAAATACTGTCTTTTAAATGAACCAACAAAGTCCATGCACGTCTTTTAAATGACATGGAAAATACGGTTTAAAAACGAAGGTATTTATGTTTTGATGAATTAAAATAAAAATTTGATTGTGGATTTCAGCAATTAGAAAACACTTTGTTTATTTTGTGCACGTGGAAAACACGAGCCACGTAAAACCTGTAATTAGAGAGCTGACTTGTCTAATTATAGCGACGCCGCAGCTCTGTCGCCCTCTAGCGGCAGTTATTGAGAACTACACCGACAGTGAAGCCACGCACAAGGAGGAGCACACAAGGATCGGCGTTTTCTCCGCATTAAAAACAGTTTTATCAAGTCTTCGGGGAGATTTTTTTGTTTGTTTTGTTTCATTGCGCGCATTTGGACATCACTTTACTTCACTGTCGAGTTTGTTAGTTTGTGGTGGAAAACGTGAGCCTGCGTTTCCGCGACAGACAGGAACTGTTGTCAGACTTTGCTTGCTCTTCACCGCAAGAACCGCAACACCTCGCACCTTTGTTTAACTTTACAGAAACGCAACTTCCTGTTGTTCTTCTCTACGAACGTTTGATGCTCAGACCTGGTCGCAGGTCTCGTGCAAAAGTTGCAAAACTAGAGGAGGAAAGAGTCATGACTGTTTCTGCTCACCTTCGGTTTTTTTCTTTTTGTTTTGACATGTAACTCATGAAAGTGTCATGTCCACACGTTACATCTTGCACAAGAAATGGCATCACCGAAGGTTTTACTGGAGTGGAGCCGCGTCACATGCGCCAGTTATCCCGGTGTGGACATAAAGGACATGTCCTCATTCAGGGATGGACTTGCATTTTGTGCCATCATCCACAAACATCGACCAGACCTGATGTAAGTAGTTTCCTGTTCGTCTCTGCTCTCTTTGAAAAGGACGTTCTGTTTTTGTGCATGGGGCCCTGTATTATGGTATGGGGTGCCATTTGTAAAGTTACACAGTCAAAAATTAACATCAAAATTTTGGTTTATTTAGCTTTTAATAAGAAAAAAAAAGTTTTTTGTTTTTTTTTCAAAGTAATATTTTCACCATGTTGTTCAAATGTCATAGTTCCCAACTAAATATTTAATTTACAAGATAAATATTTAGTTTACAAACTAAATACTTAACTTGCAAGTTAGGTGTAAATTAAATATTTAATTTATACCTAAATACTTAACTTGCAAGCTAAACAGTTAATTCCTAATCTAAATATTTAATATGCTAACTACATATTTAGCTCTGACCTAAATATTTAACTAGCAAATTAAATATTTAGCTATCAAGTTAAATATTTAGGTCTGAGGTCAATATTTAGTTAGCAAATTAAATATTTATTTAGGAAATTAAATGTTTAGTTTGTAAAATATATATTTAGGTCCAAGCTAAATATTTAGTTAGCAAATTAAATATTTAGTTTAGGAATTAAATGTTTAGCTTAGCAATTAAATATTTAGTTAGTAAATTAACCATTTAGGTGTAAATTAAATGTTTAATTTATACCAAAATATTTAGTTTACTAACTAAATATTTAACTTGCAAGTTAAGAATTTAGTTTGTACACTAAATATTTATTTTTAAAAAATATTTAGTTGGGAACTATGACATTTATAAATGTATGAATAACGTGGTGAAAATACGACTTTGAAATTTTTTCTTTTTTTTCTTATTAAAAGCTAAATAAATCAAAATATTGATGTTAGTTTTTGACTGTGCAACTTTACAAATGGCACCCCATACTTTAGTTCTACCTGTTTTTATTTATTTCACCAAGGGGATCAGCTGGTTCGTCTACCTGCACATTCACCGTGGACATGAATTGCAGAGACTATTTTCTGGGGAAAATAGTCTGATTCATTCATTCAGAAACCAGTTCTGGTAATGTCAGGTTGGAACACCCAGTTGTACGCTGGTGAAGATTCCCAGTCATCCAGGACATGGTAAATTAAAAAAAGTTAAACAGAAAAAGGAGAACAACTGACAGAAAAACATCTATGATGTTGCTGGAGTGTCAGAGAAACTCTGAAGGATTTTCTCCAAACACAACATCCCAGTACATTTCAAACCCAAACCTAGGGGGAGTGGTGGTGCAGAGGTTAGAGAAGATGGGCCTGTGATCGGAAAGTTGCAGGTTCAACTCTCGGTACAGTCAATATCAAATTGTGGGTGGTAAAGGTGAAACACCCACACCTGCCTCCACCCTCATTTGCCCCACTCTGGACCACTGCAAGGCCCCTAACCCCCACCATGTGCTCCCTAAACAGGTCTCTTGAAAATGATCGTGACTCAATGAGACTATCTGTATAAATAAAGGGTAAATAAAATAAAAACCAGCAGAACTCCCAGACAGAGGCTGGTCCACCCGAAGGACAAAACACCCAAACACAGAGTGGTGCGGTGTCTGCAGTCGTGCAGCGAGGAACGTCCAGACCTCTACATTGGAGAAACCAAACAGCCTCTTCACAGACGCATGGCTCAACACAGGAGAGCAGCTCTTCAGGACAAGACTCTGTGGTTCGCTACACCTCAAAGGTCACTATGAGGACCAGAATGTTCACATTTTGGACTGAGGAGACAGATGGTTCGAGATGGGATTGAAGGAAGCTATTTATGTAAAACGAGAGAAATCGTCTTTGAACAGAGGAGGAGGTCTCGCAGATTTAGGCCTGATACTGATACCCAGTCATTTTCACATCTATCAGGAATTTCATCCATGATGTCACTATGAGTCAGACTAACAAAGACTCTAACGATCCCCTATTGTGAGGAGTGATAGGTCAGTCTGCATATGTATCTAGCTTAGCTCAGCTTTATAACTTGAACCCCACACTCTCCGTTCTGTGAATTGAGAAAGCTCCTCAGATGAGGAGCGAAACGTCTTCCGTTACAAATAAAGTCCAGTTGTTTTTGTCTTGAATGTTTTTGAACGCCCAGTTGTGTCCACAATTCAACCATTTAGCTGTTAACTTGAGGTGAAATAGAAGAATTTAGAGGTAGTCCTCCTCCTCCTACCACTGCATGATGCGTCCACTGCCGTGCTTATCAGTTGGTGCAGTATTCTTAGGCTTGGATCCTCCTAAAATAATTCTTGTCAGTGTAGCCAAACAGCTCAGTCTTGGTCTCGTTTGCTCATAAAACTTTTCTCCAGAAGACATTCGTCATGTCCACGTTAAATGTTAAAAACAACCTCATTCTTTGCCTTTGTTTTCCCCTGAGTATCAGACAATCCAGTAAGTTCTGTCAAATAAATCTTTTTATTTATGTTGGCAAAGAGAAACTACCAGCTGCAGTCCATCATGATCACGAATGACTGACTGACTGAAGTTAAAAGACAGTTCAGCAGCACTCATTAAAAGATTTACGACATCCAATCTTCTATGTTTGATTTTGACCTTGTGTGGTTTAGAGAAAACGCCACAATAAATTTAAACGTGCGCACCCAGTTCATGCTTATAATAAAAAGAATCACTAAAAGTCTCAAATTAACCTTCATGCACGTGATGAGTGGATGCAAACTTATGACCACAGCCCTCATCTAATTGAAGATCTTTGATGAGGCTACCTTTTTCCAGAAGTGCATGTTTTTGTGTGCAAGTTCTTCTCATCCCTGGTTTCTACTGCGTCTCCATTTTCTTCATCTTTCTTTCAGAAGTTTCACTTCCCTCTCCAAAGATGATGTTTATCAGAACAACAAACTGGTGAGTCGTTTGCTCAAGCTTTGTTTGCAGCCAGACTGTAAGAATTTCTCCTGCACCACCGCGCTCGATGCTTTTGTCCTGATGAGCGCTTCACGTTGCTTTTCCTGCTTTGACCTTCGCAGGCGTTTGAAGTCGCAGAAACAAAGCTGGGGCTCCCTGCGTTGTTGGATCCTGAAGACCTCGCCTCTGCCGACGCGCCCGACCCTTTAGGTGTCATCACCTACATTTCTCAGTTCTACTACTTGTTCAGCAGAAAGCCTTGTGGTCTGTTTACTTCTCTTTCTTTATACGATCTAGATTTTATTCATGCATTAAAACAGCAAAGTGTTAACCCTTTGTTTCGTGGGACAGCTGGTGCTAATCTCAATCTCAGTTTAGTTTCTTCTGGTCAGAAAGCACGAGATGTGAGAACTTTGGGTTGGGTGACCTATATAGCCAAACTGTGACTAATTGGAGACCGTCGCTGTAATTAAAACCCTTTTTGACTTACCGTATTTTTCGCTGTACACATCAAACTGCCTTATAAGTCGCATCAGTCCAAATATGTCTAATAATGTGGAAAAAACATAAATAAGTCACTTCGCCGTATAAGTCTCGTCTATTATGCATCACCGCTGACAACCCGGAAACGTCGGCCGGTGTTGTGTCTAAAATCGATTGGCTGCCAAATGGTGGCCACTGGAGCGTGCACGGGAGGACTTTAACAAGAATTTTACAAGATTAACACTTAAAAACAATTATTTGTTTGCTTGAAATTATAGTAAAAGTGTGTCTCAGTCTAACATTTGCTTAATAAATGCACTTTGACGGTCAAATCAGCTGCATTTC